TTTCTCTTTGACCCTCCAAAACGCGATGAATTATTAAAATTATTAGTTGAAGAGTTTTGGACGATTATATTCAAAACGACTATTGGAGATATCTTAATTTTTCCATCTTTAAAATTATTAGTGACAGCAGTTTTTCCTGTTCCCCATTCCAATGCGGAACCAGTAAGAACGTTTTTTGATGTTACTGACCTTAAAGATGTCAAAGGTAACAAGAACGGTGTAAAGTTACATAACGAACGATGTTGTTTGCGTTCACTTGGTAAACCTGGGGGTGAGAGTGACATTGATTTTGAACCAACGGAGCAAAACTTTGATCTTTTTAATTCTGCTTCAGTATGTAACTGACACGATCTCTTCATTCTTCTTTAGTGATGGCTAATATTTTCTATTGCATGTTACATGCGCATGTTCTTCTAATAAATACGGTGATAGATAAGATTAAATTATGGCTAGTGACAAAGATATCTACGTTACAAGTACATCTTTATTAACATTCGCGTTAGTTTGTTAAGATAATTGTTCAGTTTTTTAAGCCAAACGTATTAAGCCTAGTTAAAATTTTAAGGAGTACTTGTAACTAAAACAACCTAACGCGCTATAGGCAGTACCTCAAGGGGAGTGGGGAAATTTGCCTACTATAGCACGCTGTGCCACTATTTTGCATTTACGTTGTGTATTTTTTTTNTCAAATTCAGTACCCATATTTACCATTCTATGGTAGACGGTACAATATGGACTTATATCTTGCAGTATTTGTAAATGATATCAAGAATAATTATAAGGAAACTTACCTTCTGACGACGTGTCTATAAATAAAAATGGTAAATAAAATAAAATAAAATTTTCCCCCTTACCTGTAATTAATAGAAGCCTTTAGAAAGGTATAAAACAGTACAACGTGGATAAAACTAAATGCATTCCAAATTAATTATTCATGCACTTTTTGTAACCATTTGTTTATTGTAATCAACAAATTGAAATAGTAGTAATTAAGCAATAATCACAGGATAAAAAAATAAAATTGACAATGATGAGGTTTGAATATATAACCAGCATAAGTATAGAGTACGCAGCCCACTCGGCTACGGCGTAATTGACTGAGGGAGTACAGATGAAATACATAAGCTGTTAAGCAGGCTTGGAAAAAACATGCACATCACATGGAAAGGGAGAATATTTGTCATGAGACGCGAGGGAGAGGTTTTAGTTCCAGTTGTTGCCACATGATGCTTTTTTTACATTGCAAAATTGCGCTAAATTTTTGCGGTTTTCTTTTGAATATGTAAATTGGTAGAGGTTTTAGTTTCAACTTTAGCCACTTCATTTACTTTTGTAAGGACTCTTTGGTGCTAGTAGTCGCACCTAATAACGAATAGGAGCAGTGTTGGCGGAGAGGATCTTCGCATGCCCCCACTACTATCGGAACTTTCCATTGGAAAAGTTCCGAAGACTATCAGAGCAGAGCTACAGCAGGAGTATAGAGAAAGACTTATTTCTCCTGGATTTCCCATTTACTAAGGCGTGTTTGGTTATTTAACAACAGGGCTCCCAAATCTTTCAAACTAATAACACAAGCACATGTCATCCAATGACCCAGGGCGCTTCCTGGCCACTCTAATAAATAATTCAATCTTGAATAATAAGGCAAGCTACTATCACATGATGACCCACAGCGCTTACTGGCCACTCCATTAAATAGTTAAAACGTTAAGTAACAACACAAGTGCTTATCACTCGATAACCCGGGGCGCCTACTGGCCACTCTACTAAGTAATAAAATGTCGAATAATAACACAAGCGCCTATCACCCGATGACCCGGGGCCTATACTGGTCGCTCTGATAGATAATTGGAACGTTAAATAACAACACAAGCGACTATTACCCGATGACCTGGGGCGCCTACTGGCCACTCTAATAATTAATAAAATGTTGAATAATAACACAAGCGCCTATCACCTGATGACCCGGGGCCTATACTGGTCGCTCTGATAGATAATTGAAACGTTAAATAACAACACAAGCGACTATCGCCCGATGACCTGGGGCGCCTACTGCCCACTCTAATAAGTAATAAAATGTTAAATAATAACGCAAGCGCCTATCACCCGATGACCCGGGACGCTTACTGGCCGCTCTATTAAACAATAAAATCTGAAATAATGACGCAAGCGACTATTATCGGATGACTCTGGGCGCTAACTGGCGTACTGTTAAAAAAATAATATTTAAACTAAGAGAAAAAATTTTATGATGGTAAGAATGGTTAGTGAAGTGCTATTAGCCCGGCAAGCCGTACAAGAAGGTGGAAGTAAACATTTTATCCCAGGTAAAGAAATGACCTTAATGGTTTTAAACCGAAACTATAACTATTATAACTAAAGACAAATTGTGGGCTGTATTATTTTTTTCTGCCATTTTTTACTATAAACTTTAAATAGAGAAGTACCATAAAAATTTTGTTAGAAATATATTTTTATTTCATCACTTAACGTAATAATTCATGAAAGAAATCGGGTCTAATTTTTTACATGCAAAATCCCTTGATCTTTTACTTTCAACCAATTTTATTGTTCGCGATCACATAAAAGAAATCTTCGATGTTCACTTTGGCCCGTATGCTCCCGAAATTTTTTCTAAAATGTCGAAAGAATTAACTAATAAATTTCAAAAAACNATTTATTTATTAAATTTTCATTAATTATCAAGATGGCCAGTAAGTCCCTGGGTCATAAGGTGATAGGCGCTTGTGTTATTATCTAACATTTTGGTTATTTATCAGAGTGGCCAATAAACGCCTTAGGTCGACGGGTGATAGCCACTTGTGTTATTATTTAACATTTGAATTATTAATAAGAGTGGCCTGATAAAGAAGTGCTCTGAAGGTTGCGGTAGACAGCCAACTTTTGACCATCGCTGGAGTTCGCGTGGTTACGAGAATACATGGAGTAGCATGGTTGCCTAAAATTAATAATTTCTTTTATTTATATCAAGATCCTTCCTAATAGTCTGATCGTCTTAATAAGAATCCCTTACTCCTTAACTTTGATGGTATTTTTTTCAGCATGAGATTTTGTTTTAATAAGTTGTAAAAGAGACATATGTTCCATTGTTGCTCGTACATGTGAGCCACATTGCATGTTTTTACTACTAAGTGTTCTCTATTCCTCTCTCACACTTTACTGACACATACAATGTAGCTCACATGTACGAGCAACAATGGAACATATGTCTCTTTTACAACTTATTAAAGCAAAATCTCATGCTGAAAAAAATATCATCGTAAAGTTAAGGAGTTAGGGATTTTAATTGAGACGATCACACTATTAGGAACAGGCTTGATATTAATGAAAAAAATTATTGACTTTACGTAACCATGCTACTCCATGTATTCTCGTAACCACGCGGATTCACCATTTAGCCACAAGTTAGCGCTAGGGTTTTTTGTGCACGGAGCCTATAGCTTGCGGGTCTCTAGACTACTGAACTCTGCTTTGAGGGGAATGCCGTTCTGTCTGGCATCACTGAAATGGAACCACTTCGCTGGGTGCGAGCCAGCTGGTGCTGATATTGGTTTCGTTAATGGCCGTACAGATAAAGCCGCGGTTGCATCGGGCGGAAATTGCCAGAGGAACGTCACAGCGGAAAGAGAAAAGAGTTCTGCCACCACCACTTTAACGAGTTACACGTTTCGCTCCGACTGGAAAAAATGTCCATCGTGCACATGGAACATAACAAAGCGAAGCGTAACGGCGGAAGCCGACTAAATAATGAAATAACCTTATTCTTCAACTATTATTAAATTTTCCAGACATCTGAGGATGATTATAGCTATAAATAGTAAAATGTCTACCGTAATATATCATAGGTGAGCATTAACAATTTATGTCAAATGCATAACATCGAATGTTTGCCGCTGGAAAGCTGGGCCCTCAGTGGCTGCTGTCATGGCTCAGCCTTTCTGTTCCGCTACATGTACACGATGGACATTTTTCCCAGCGGAAGCGGAGCACGTAACTCAGTAAAGTAGCAGTGGAAGAACTTTTTTGACTCTTTTCTCTTTCCGCTGTGACGTTCCACTGGTAATTTCCGCCCCATGTAACCGCGACCTTACATTGCTAACAAGGAGCCAAACTGGAGCCACCAAACTTAGAAAAAGAACTAAAAATGAATTGTGATTTTGTTGAATTCTGTGACCAATGAAAAGTGTTACTGTATTTCTTAAAAAACTTAATGACTGACTTATTTAAATACTATTTTTTGAATACAGTAATTATAAACATTTTAATTTACGACGTTTTGTTTCAGATTACATTGAAAAAAGGAATTACAAGTTATTGTTATCAATTTTATTGATAGTGTAATAAATTTTTGGAATGAATATGAAAATATTTATTTACTTTACAGATTTCAAGTCTTTTGAACTGTCACAAAACGTCCAAATTAAATAAATTGTTAATATATTGATAAGACATTCACCAAAACACAATACAAACTCTTCATGTATCTTTCTAAGGTACATGTAAAAGTGGCTTGAAGTAAAATCAAGAGCATTCAAAAATAAGTAATTAATATTCAATAAGTATTTATATGATACTATCTTAAAGTTCTAACTTGAAAAAATGTACAACTAGAAGAAAAGCAAGTTTTCATTCTCCAGAAATCCATTCAAACTTCTGCACTTGACAGACGTAAAGGAACTTTAATTAAATAGCTTCATTGCGTGATCAATGCCTATTCTCAAATATTTCATACCACAAAAGAAAAAATCCGAAGGAATACATTTTATTAATGGATGTATAAAACTAGCAGTTTGAATGATATATATTGAAGGTTCACTTCACAATAAAAGATATTCTTTAAAATTGAAAAGAAGAAAAATAATGACATGTAAAGATTAAAGTGTAAGAAATCGGTTGTTTAGCATATTGGCTGAATGTTAAGAAGAGGAAATTACACAGAATCAGTACTTTATACACTGTTGAAAGCAATTTCGTCATACCTGTATAACGTTGTTCAAGTTGATGCTATAATCGTAAAGGGTACAGTCATCCTCTAGATGTTTTCCACGAAAAAAGAGTGCCTGCTCACGTGTCTCAATTCCAAACTCTTCTTCGACATCCTTCTTTAGGTCAATTATTTTTGTCAGCTTCGAAGCATTAAGTACAGTCTTTTTATTGGAGTCAATCGTTACCACTTGCACATACATTTTACAAATTGACACACTTCAAAGTTGGTATACTAGTACCGGTTGGATATAAATAGAGACATTCCTTTACTTAATAGTAACGTAACGAACCACAGTAACGCTAAACCATCAGTTTTTATTCTAAATTTACAAATAAAACAAACCAACTCAAGATTACGGAACAGTCGCAATAGTAATATAAAAATTGCGCGCGAAAGCTACCGTAAGCCGTAAGGGCAGCGCACCAGTTACAACCATATACATACAAGAAATAAACGTGTGCTCGTTCTAATGTACGGCACTAAAGCACAAGTAGAAAGAGACACAACATCGAACATGTATATTGGTCTCTGTTGCTCGTTGCCAACGGTAGGGAAGTTGCAATGATTGCATTAGCTAGACATAGTTTACTGACCCCAACCGTTGGCAACGAGCAACAGAAACAAATATAAACGTTCGATGTTGTGTCTCTTTCTACTTGTGCTTTAGCACCGTACATAAAAACAAGCAAAGCAGTCTATTTTTTATATGTCTATGGCTAGAACTAGAAGTTTTAAACAATGGACATATAGAAAGTATAGACTTGCTCGTTCTTATGTATAGTACTAAAGCACGAGTAGAGACACAGCACTGAGCGGGACATCTGTCTCTCTTGCGCATTGCCGATGGTGTGGAGGTTGCATCAGCCCGACAAGAATTTGATTCAGGCTTAGACCAGGGCCTGCCTAGGCAAGCCTTACATCGATGCCAGGGCCTGGGCAGGCCTAAATGTAGAGTTTGTCACCACGGTATGAGGTTGACCGCAGGCTATGATTAGGGCTTGGCCAAGATATATATATTTATGTATAATAACATATGACTTCTGTTCAGTACTACAGTAGGGGTTATAGTGAGTATATGTATATTTAACGCTTTTGGATGAAAACAACACGATAAATAATTTTAACAAATGATAAGGAAAAATCATTTACGCGGATTATCGCTACTTTAAAACTCTTTTTAGTGACATGCAATGTCTAATTTTTTGGAACATACAAGGAAATGATGATTGAATTTTTACAAATTAAAGTTTTTTAATTGTTACATCATTACACTACCTACAAACTCAGAAATACTGTCTTGATCATCGCACTGATCATAATTCACTTGAAAATCGGTCTAATATATCGGTTATTTGTTTCGCTTGTATTCGTAGTAATCATGCTACATTGGGCTCAATTATTTTTCTCAAAATTTACGCGCTCTCAGAATTTTTCTTTTACTACTTAAGTTTTTCACTCATATTTTGTTTAACGTGCATTAAATAAACAAATGAACAAGAATAAACAAATAAACAGAAGATTAATCTGATTAATGCCTCTCGTTGCCAACGGTGGGGTGGGGGTTATTGAAGTAAGTCTAGCTGATGCAACCCCCCCACCGTTGGCAATTCGCAAGAGGGACAGATATACACCTTTGATGTCTTGTCTCTTCATACTTGTACTTCAGCTGTTCTCAGCGCTGCATGTACATAAGAACGAGCAGTCCATGACTTATATGTCTATGGACTATAGCATACTTACGCACTTTACACGTAAGTATATCAAATACGCATATTTTAGAAGCTCTATTATAAATATTGAAAAAGATTCAGCGTGCTCCGTGCTGGCTATACTCTAATATGAGTGACAGCAGCGCCCCTCTTTATGAGTGGATAATCTGCTGAAACGGAGCAACAGAGGCGCTTTTTACGCATAGCGCTACTGTGTCGACCACTATGCATAACCACTATACGCATAATCGGAGTAGAGGCTACTCCAATTTGGAGTAATAGTTAGGCAGTGTTACACATGATAAGGGTACAGAACAGCGCCTGCCGAAGTATAAGAAACCATGAGAGAGAGAGAGAGAGAGACAGAGGTCTGCCGAAAAGCAATTCCACAGACCTCTTTCTCACGTCCACGGTCTCTTATGCATTCGGCAGGCCTTATTCTGCACCATGTAATTAATTTAATTTAATTTTTTTTTAACCTCACAAATAAATCAAAACAACATAATAACGGTAAAGTGGGCAGATAAATTTTTTTTATATGGATGTGAGTTGATTAATAATTCAAGAAAATTAAAAAAAAAAAATAACAATGTATATTGATAAAACAGTAAAACCATTTATTAAAAATAAAGTTACAATTTTTTACAGTTTGTATCTTGGAATGATCCAATAATTATTTTCTTTTTTATGGCCACCAGTGGCCGCCCAGGCAGGGGGGCAGGGAGGCCTAGAGCCCCCCCAACTTTCAAACTGGGGGGGCGCAGCCCCCCTTCCCAATTTCCGACATAAATGTCAAAAAAATATTTGATTGCTCGCGAGCAAAATGACAAAAAAAACAGATAGTCATGCTCAAATTTTGCTTTAGTTTATAACTTTATGCATAAAATAAAAAAAAAGCGAATCAAAGGGTGCGTTTAATTAGAATCGTACAAATAAATCCCAAGCGCTCAATTCTTTGTAATCCAACCGATCGAGTGCCTGCCCTAAGAAATAATTTATTATTAGGAAAATAAATTCCAATCGCTCAATGCTGTGTAACCCAACTGGTTGAGTGCCTGCACTGTTAAACAATTGATAAATAAATAAATCCCAAGAGCTCAATGATTTGTAACCCAACTAATCGAGTACCTGACGAAATCTGTCCGAAAGTTAAGCTCCTACATAAGAGATTTGAGACGACGCAAGATAGCAGCAACAACAAATCAATGAAAGTTTTAATAATAGTATTTGGGAAAACAGAAATGAAATATGTTTATAATAAAAATGTTTGTTTGAATCAATANGAGAACAGAAGAGTAGCACGAACGAGAGGAGAAAAGGTTGTGATGACGGTGAGGACGAGCAAGAGATCGATGGATGAACGATGATCAAATGAGAATGGAGGCTGTAGAGGCACAGACCTAGCACGACGTGTGCTTAATGAGATGTGATGAAGAAGCAAATCATGAGAGAATGAGATGTAGGTCGAGTTAATGAACGAAAGATGAAGATAAAATACAAACTAAATGAATTATGGTAAAAAGACTTGGCGTCTCGATGTCGATGTCCTGAGTCCTGGGGCTCGATGACAGCGGCGAAATCTCCTGCTGATGGTGCAGACTGCAAGCGATAAAAAAAAAAAAACACTACGCGTGAAGATGCTTCCAATTCGGCAGGCCAAGCAAGAGAGAGAGTGCAAGCCAAGGCTCCCAGATTTTAGGGAGTTCGCCGCATGCGCAGTGCGCAATCACCCTCTCTCCACAGAGCAAGCTAGAGCGGGAGAGTCCCCCTACCCAGACCTTCAACCTAAGCCCCGCCCACTTTTCACAACTTAAGTATGACATCTTGTCAAGTAGGAGTATCATCGACGATAGCCGCGCGGGCTAAGTCTTTTGCCCCAGCCAAACTTGCCAGCTTTCGAATCTCACTGATGATTTTTTTTTTTTTTCCATCTGCAAAATTTTTATACGTTAGGTTTTTGTATTAAAAAAATATTTTGTTGGTTTGTTGCCTTTTGTACGCTTAGTACATGCGACGAGTCGTCACTATGGACAATTTCAACAAAGCAAAATAAAAAAATTGCTTTTTTTATTCAAAAAATGCTTGTAGTTTTTTCTTTTTTTTTTTTAAGTGAAACTTCTTACGGCACGTTGTGAATTTTTTCGAGTGACACAAAATTTCTGAGCCCCCCACCAATCCAGCAGCTCTCTCTCTCTCTCCGCGTCCCCCTTGCCACCACATGCTAGACTAACAGACATCCTACTACTCCAACTCCAGCTGCTCTCTCTCTCCCTGACACGTCCCCCTTGCTACTACATGCTCAAATTTTTACGTATATGTGTGTGTGATGGGGTATTATTTGTTATTAAATAACCTCAAATTCGTATTCGGCAAATTCGTAAATTCCAATTCGGCAGGCCAAGCAAGAGAGAGAGTGCAAGCCAAGGCTCCCAGATTTTAGGGAGTTCGCCGCATACGCAGTGCGCAATCACCCTCTCTCCACAGAGCAAGCTGGAGCGGGAGAGTCCCCCTACCCAGACCTTCAACCGAAGCCATTTAAAAATGTAGAAGTAATTATAATATTATGTAACAATGCTATAATTTCCAACAATAATATTAAAAAGTCTAATTACTAACTGATTACGTTGGATTTAGGTTATAATTGTAATATTTCTAACTTTCCGGGCTGATAAGTTTTTCCAAACGTGATCATGAGCTTGTATCTGTTTCTAGAAATGTAATTCTAAAGATATTCATTTCAAATCTTGTAACAAAATTATAACACCCTAAATAACGTTTATCCTCAATTAAAAAACCAACATTTTGAGTTACAACTTGTAAATGTTTCTGCTCAAATGACTTGTACTTTTTTTTTTTAACAAGCATGACTTGTATTTTTTGCGAGTATTTAATTAGAAAAAAAAGTCATTTCTTGGCTTGTTCCAACATCTTTGAATGCTCTAAATGACCTAGATTTAATATAAAAAAAAGAATTTCTGTCCGTTAAGACTTTTTTCCGCTTGTGGGACTGAAATTTATTTAAACAAGCATGATTTGTAATATTTACAAGTACTTGATTGGAAAAATGTATTTTTTTAACCTTGTCCAAACGTCTTTAAATGCTCTAAATAACCTATGTTTAATTTTAAAAGATGTTTTTTTTTTGTTTTTCGTTGAAACTTATAATTTTTTCCGCTCGTGTGGGACTTGTATTTTTTTTTAACAAGCATGACCAGTATTTTTTGCAAGTACTCAATAGAAAAAATGTTTTTTTTAACCATGTTTAAACATCATTAAATTCTCTAAATGACCTATATTTATTATCCGAAAAAGCTTCCTTTTTTTTTTTCTAATACTAGTAATTTTTATTACTCGTGGGACTTGTATTTTTTTTCAAAAAGCAGGACTTGTATTTTTTGCGAGTACTTGATAAGAAAAAGTGTCCTTTTTTACCTTGTTTGAACGACTCTGAATGCTCTTAATAACCTTGATAATATAAAAAAAAAGCATTCTTTTCGTTGAAACTTGTAATTTTTTCCGCTCTTGAAACTTGTATTTTTTTTTTTTAAGGAAGCAAAAATGTTTTTTTTTTAACCTTGTTAAAACGTCATTAAATGCTCTAAATGACTTATATTTAGTATCGGAGAAAGCTTTTTTTTTTAAGACGTAATTTTTTCCGCTCGTGGGACTTATATTTTTTTTCA